AGCAGTTATAGTCGTCTCAGCTTGCCTTGATAGCCATCCGGTCATTCTCCACCGATGTCAGTGCGCTCTACATTAGACTTTGAAATCGATAGGGAGAAGGACGTTGATTTCGTTGCGATCTGCATATCCATTCAACTCGAACAGCCATCTAGTTGTTCTGTGTATTTCTCGGGCCCAGCTGCACGGTTGTATGCGTCTTTGGTGGCGATGTTTGTTGTGAACGTTGTGAATCATGTGCAGTCTGTTCTTTCTCAGAGTACAGGGCATGCATTGCTACGGCACTGACATCAGGTATCAGATAAAGGGATTCTACTACACCCCTTATTATCCCCTGCCGACCCCTTACAAAAATGGTACTGTTGGAATTCAGACTGACAGTCAACCCAGACCTCTGGTCACTTTCATCTTCTGTTCACGGCCTCATATCCACCCTTGCATGACATGCAGGTCGTCTGCTCAGGCAGCATTGTATCTTTCCAGAAACTGTTCTGGACGCGATAGTAAGTGTCTCCTTTAAAGCGCTTACCACGAGTGTCTGATTGGGTGCCATCTGCTGATACTGTTCTCCGCCTGCCTGCAACCACGATCAAATTATCTACACTGACGAGCATCATGTGTCTTAAAATTCAAGCAGTTTGCCATCACGTGAAGAACATGTGGACATGAGAGTAATTAAATCTCAAAAATTAATAAAATTAGTCACCACATACCAATGACATACAACTGACTACTGGACTGTAGTGAAGATCCAGTTGAAGTCCTGGATGCGAACGTCTACCGTACACGGATGCGACTTTGCGATGATTTACGATCGTATGGATCAGATATGAGTACCCTGTAAGCAAAGGCTCCGCCCTAGTCGAGCGACTTACATATGTTGAGCTCTTGCGGAGCGTAACTGCCGAATTGCCTTCATTGCTGCGTCTGCCTTTCTGCATTGAAGAAGTAAAATGTAAACTCCACCTAAACGTTCTCCACTTAAAGCCCCTTTTTCTGTCCACACAGTTGGTCTGTAAGCTAAAATGCTTTTAAGAGTATGTTTTAAGGCAAATTTATAACCTTTAAAAAAGCTAATGAAGAACTGAAGACGAGATTTTAGAGGCCTTACGCTCAGAACTAGGAAGAAATAACGGCAGAAAATTCCAGATTACTTTGAGCAGCCTGATGATGCCTTCGTCAATAACAGGCCAAATAAGATGCCAGCATTCAGAGAACGCCTCGGATCATCTTCGCAGGTATTCAACTTACAATGCAGGAAGAGGATAACGACTAGCTAACCATCCTTGTGTTCTCAACTACGTAAATCTTACAGCAGCCTCACAACGGAAGTTTTCAGAGGATCGATGAAACCGACGCATTTACTGACATCCAAAAACAGCCACTGATCAGCCACAAACGCAGCTTCATTTTGGTGTGTTTAAACGGCCTTCAGAAACCCAGGAGACACGCCTGTTTAATTGCAATGCCGTCTGGACAGATTCCTGAAGCACCTGTGGAAGCATCTGCATAAAGCCTTCCTACTCACAAGGCGTTTGTGTTGCTGCCCAACCAAAAGTGACATACTGCGCAGTTAGTGAGTAGTCTCAGGGTACACATCTGAACAGAATGCACGCTCATATGCACAGAGACACTCAAATAAAAGTTTAACTTCGATGAAATGTCACGGTTGGAAAGAATTGTCCTTGAAAATACAGGCGAAATTTAGGCAAACTAATTAAAGCACTTGATCATGACGTAGGTAATTGAATAATGCGAAGAAATTATGTACCTTAAACAAACAGATATGACCACCTGTTGACGGCTGAATCATTCAAGGAGGCATATTTGCTTGACGCATTAGGAGTCAGTGGTCTTTCGATTTCACTGACCAGTATTCCGAGCCCGTTTTCTGACTGATCGCTTCACTGTCATCGAACCGGTTCAGGCGTTTGCAAACAAGAAACGCCTCATTCCCGCCTTCCTGCACAAACAATCCTCGAGGGAGAGAAGAAGAAGAAGAAGAAGAAGAAGAAGAAGAAGACGACGACGAATGAAGGAAACAACGGTCAAACCCCCTGGCCCGTGTCCTCTGCCGTTAATATTTCAGCTGTCCAACAATTAAAGAGCTCAGTAAAGTTACAAGTACGACGCATGTACTGAGTTACGACAGTAACAACCCAATCATCCACAAACGCAATTTCGTAAGAATAATACCTCGGTGTGTTAGGAGGCACTACAGTGGCGTTTGGGACAAGACTGCTGAATTGCACTAATTGCTGCAGGTGTTGGGGCCAAACAGTTACATACGCAACTTTTAAGGCCAATGTATACTCAAACGAGACAATCAAACTGACGTTGTCATGAGTGACCACCGTCTCGGTAACCCCAACCCCCCTTGTCACAGTCTTTGGACTTGTGACTTGATAATAGACCAGAGTAAGCTATCAGACGCCGAATGATGAGGCCGAACAACCCACTGCCCGGCAGGAAATGTCTGGAGTTATTTACCGGATCTGATGCAGTTGCGAACAAAGCAAATGCGTAGGAGAAACTAGTTGATCACTTTGGATGTAAATCAGTGAACATGCAGCAGCATCAATTATGATGAAGAATAAGAAGGTTGCAGGAGGATTAAAGCCACGTGGTGTGGGGATTTTGACCTAATGCGGTTTGAAATTACACGCATTGAGTGGGAGCCCGTGCTTGCTGGAGACGTACTCGAAGATTTGGAACGGTTTCGAGAAATTTTGCGCAAGCCAATTGAAAACCACTGTCCGATTTTACGAAACAGGCTGACAAATGGACCTCAATGGTTTACGCAAGCCCCAAAAAATGGGGTGAATAAAAAAAACGAAGACCGTGGAAAAACCGCTTACTGACTGGAGCTCCAAATCTCTAAGTGCGCAAAAAGCTTTAAGGCATAGATATAAGGGTTTTACCCTTAGAACAAGACGTTAATTCAGATCTACCTAACTGTGCTGTAGAGGACCCGAAAATATTCTATGGTTATATTGGACAGAGCACGCGACACATTGGCTGCTGAACGTGAAATCATCATTGCCGATACAGCGAAAGAGGATCATCATTCAGAATTTTCGATCGGCTTCTTCAGTTGCGAGCCTGGTTTCAACCCTCCCGCGAGTGACTTCGAAGATCATGAAAACCCCTCAGTTCGCATTTACAGTTGTGCTGAGCGAGCTGATGGAGCTTGACGAATTAAGATTTTGGGGGACCGACGAGATTCT